GCGCTTATTAATGCAGAGATTTTGATTCAAATCGTACAGAGCACGCCACTTTCGGGAGAGACTTTCAGTATTGTTTGGGGAGAAGAAAGCAAGCCTGGCTGAGTATTGTCTTCCCCAGTGTTAATCACTTCTGCTGAAGCAAGCAGGTGCTGCGACTCAGAGCTCGCAGCACAGGGGGAAGAGAAACATCACTGGGACTCATCTGCATGATGGATTTTTGCCATTCTGGCTCATTAAGCCACAGCCCAGAGTTGTCGTGCTGCTTGTTTCCTTTGTCACAGCGGCAAGGGGAAGCGTTGCACGGGCGTGCAACAGGTCAGCAGCCATCAGTGTTAACCAAGCCTAGACTCATGAAATCATAGAACCATAGAATAGCTTGGGTTGGAAAGGACCTCGAAAATCATCCGGTTCCAACCCCTTGCTGTGGGCAGGGCTGCCACTCACCAGCTCAAGCTGCCTATGGCCCCATCCAACCTGGCCTCAGGCACCTCCAGCTCTCTGGGCAGCAGTGCCAGCATCATGCTAAAACCAAACGGGTGGTTTTGGGAGAAACTGCCCCAGGCTGCTGCTGACAAGTGCTTCTGGTCATGTCTGCAGCTAAGTTTGCAGCTGGCAGCTGAGCCCTTGGGAGTGTTTACTCCAGAAGAACAACATTCAGAGTTTTTATTAAATCATTTTTGATGCTTTGACCACAGAGCTGGGCCCATCCCACTGGCTTTTTTTTTTCCTTCCACATTGCTTGCATGTTTCCACCTGTTATGCTATGAAAACGATGAGAAAACAGTGTGTTTGAGAAAACAGTGTGTTTTCTTATGAGATTTTTCTTTTGAGAAAACATGGGAACGGGTCCCACGCTGCCTCAGCTAGAGGAGAACAGGCAGAGAACACGGCAGAGATTGGAGCCAGCACCCTGGGAACCCACAGAAAAGCATCCAGAGATGCATGGCTGCAAGCTCCCTTGTTGCTGATTTTTCCCTTAGCGCTCACTCTAGGGTTTTACAAGGAAAACAGTGATGCTGAGGATAAGATACCACTAGCTATTGCCATTACTGAATGATCCACCTATATAGAATTATAGAATTGAGTTGGAAGGGACTTTCAAAGTCCAACTCCTCTACACTGACCCAAGCACAAGCAGACGAGCAGTGCCTAGACGAATCCAGGTTATTAAACCACAGGAGGTGATCATTGCTACTGCATCCCTCATCTGGCAGCACCCAAAGCTGAGGCCCTTGATTGCATTGGGTTGCACAAGCACCTCGGAAGACATTTCCTGACAACTCACATGGAGGGAAGACCGCCAGAGCAAAGCCTGATGTTATTTATAGTGTGACAGCACAAAAGAGGTCTGGAGGACTTCATCCCTCGTTGCTCCCAAACAGGGCAGACAATAGAGGTGCAATGCTTAGGAACATATCTAATGTGTCTGAGTGGGCTTTCGTACAGGTTAAAGGAGGATCATCATCCTGAGGAAAACCCAGGCTGCCAAGCAAAGCCACTCTAGAGGATGTTTCCATTCCAAGGTTACGCCAAAGGGTCCACAAAAAGATTGATGTTTAAAAATGGCCCACGGCATGCATTGGGTTTGTCTACTTTTCTAAAGTTGCATTCTACATCTGTGATCAGTAGAGCAAACGTATGGATTCCTCCAGGCATTTCTGGGGGAAACCTGGCACGTGGTTCTTGGAGCGCATCAAGCTCCATCTGTCTGAAGACAGAACCTTGCTTTGCTAAACCACACCACAGGCTTCTTTCTCAACCTTCTCCCTGAGGCTGCCACTTGCTGTCTGGGAGAAGCCAGACTAGGGGATCTCAGCTCCTTGATGATCCTCACCTGATGCTCATCTTGGCTGTTCTTTGTCCCAAAACCTGTCCCCAGCTGTGTGTTATCCAGCCCTGCAGCCCACCAGATGGTGCTCTCGGTATTGACTACATGCAACTTCTGCTTCTGCTGAGAAACTCCAGCACAGGTAGGTGTGGAGACATGCCCTGAAGGGAAACAGATTTTGAGGTTTTCCCACAGCACCAGACAAATCACATCACTTTGTCCCAGGCGTAACACTGTCCTCCTTGGGACAAGTTTCTTGAGCTTCTCTGGAGTGACACTGCGAGGCTGAGAGAGTTCTGTGGGCCTTGGTAGTTCTGCTTGGTAGAGATATCAAACATCTTCTATTAGAGTGTAAATTTTGTAATAGTGAGAGGTTGTGTGCAGCTGTTGAGGATCTCCATCACCAGAGGTGATCAGCTCACACATACACTCCACCAGTGGTGAGTCTGAGGGCTGGAATAACAAAATGAGATCCCTTTCTACCTTAGTTTCTCCCTCATTTTCTACTGGAGGAAGGTCCTACTGCTCCCATGCCCTATGCAAACTGAGATGGACAGAGTTATATCAAGTCTGGAGAAGCGGGCTGCAGTAACAGGGCTGATCCTGTTGTTTTCCTTCCTTTGCAAGGCTCTCTTTAACTTCTCCCTAATAAAACTTGGGGCAAAGGGGAGCATTTAATGTGCAGTTAAATAAAAAACACAAAAGTGTGCCACGCTGGCCGACTTCCTAAAAACTAAGTGCAGTGAAATAAAACCTCAGGAACAGGAGCCACGAGAAGAACTGGCAGCTAGCTCTGTGGTCTCTGTTTTTTACCAGTAAGGTATTTTTATCAGGGAGAAGCAGGAAAAGGGAGATCATTAAAGGCAGCCTGTGCTGGTATGCAGGAGCACTCTGGCCATTTACGCCCGTAATGAGTTCTGCTGCCTCTGAGCAGAGCACGGGTAATAACAGGTCATAAAGAGGGTTTACCACCCGAATTGCCAGTCTCTGAAGGTTACTAAAAGCCCGTTCGAATGAGCATGGTCAAATCAGCCTGACTGTTGTGAAACCTCTGCTTTCTTAATGGCTTAGTGGAAAACTCAGTTTTTCCATTCAATGAAAGGGGAGAAAACCGGGAGTGGAGCAAATAGAGCAAACCCAGTATCCAGTCTGGCTGAAACCTCTTGAATTTATCTGAAATCTGATGTTGCCATTTGTTTGCTTTGTCCCATCAGCTCGCTGACTGCCTATAAAACTTCTCTGCTTTATAAAAAAGATGCACATAATGCATCTCCACATTGGAAAGGGTTAATTTATACCCATTTTACTCTCAAAGAAGCACAGAGAAGGTGAGCAATGCCCTACAAACGAAAAACAAAGTCTCCATTATCTACACGGGGGGCCCCTCTGCACAGCCCATACAGCAGGTACAACATCCCCTCTGCCTAATCACAATGCTGTCACCACCCTGCTCTTTCTGAGTGCAGGGCTGAGGGTCATATAGGGCCCAAAAGGTTTGGTCAAGCGCTGGCACAGCTGCCCAGAAGGGTGGTAGAGTCACCATCCCTGGAGGTGTTCCAGATCTGTGGAGATGTGGCACTGAGGGATGTAAGCAGTGGGCATGGTGGGGTGGGCTGGGCTTGGACTTGGGGATCTGCGAGGTCTTTTCCAACCAGAATGATTCTGTGATTCCATTATTCTTGCTGTGGTTTTGGTGCTGTGTTTCCCAACAGGATACAGAGCACGTCCCCAACAAAGCCAAGGCAGCCCATCTCTGCTTTGCTTCAGAGTGGGGCCCCAGGAACAGAGTGGCTAAATGCCAGCGATGCAATCACTCAGGTGTGACACGTACAAAGTTCTTTGAAGATGAGTTAATAGCTTTAAGCAACACAAAGTCTGCTTGGAGCGATTTCCAGTCCTGCACATTACTAAGCACATCCAATGGTGCCCAAGCATTTCGACAACCTCTGCAGCATCCCCTGGTGTTGCTGGTGCAGGACAGGCTGTGCTCCTCTACTCATTTTATTCAAGAACTGTTTCACCTTCTGGAGAGCAAAAAAAAAAAAAGAAATCCATCTACTGCACATGCCTCTTCATTTACAGCCCCAAAGAAAAAAAAAAAAGAGTTAAAAAATAAAAAAAAGCTGTGTTTCTATTGTTCCTCTTGCCCTTTGATTTCTCTCCATTTTCCTTGCCTTTGTGTGTGTGGGAATGCGCATTTGTGGGAACGTGCAAGAAGTTCTAATGTTTTCTGCAGTTGTTTAGTGGGTCCCCTTCTGAAGCCTTATGGACCACCAAGGGCTGAGAAACAGGGATGGAAGATCCAGAGAGATAGTTTGTGCAAATCCAGTGTCGTCCTTTTGAAGTCCTCAGGGCTTCCACGGCAGCCAGAAGTAATTAGTGAGAGAAAAGGGCTGTAAGAGCCATGCTGGCTTGCAGTCAGCAGTTCCTGCTGACTTTGAATAAAGCAGAGCTGAGCCAGCGCTGAGCACTGCTGGAATTACGACACCAAACGTCCAACCTATTTATGGAGTGGCTGCAGAGCTTGGGGATGGCTCTCTGCAGCAGGACTCGTGCTGCTGAGCTCACACCACTTTGCTGCCTCTCTGCAAATGCCAAAATATACCCAGCATTCAGGTGCTGTGGCTGAACTTATCGCCCTGTCACACCTGTGCCACCTTCCCCTTCATTCAGGGGCGGCTGTAGGATCTGCTTCCCTTAACAGAGCGAGTTGAAGGAAGAGCAGCAGCATGGTTACAAGCATGAGGAATAATGAGAATTTCAATTGAGAATTCTCCATCCCCACCTCCTGCCCCAAGAAGGGAACGTTCCCAGCACCAGATCCTTAACTCTGCACGTGGCCTAGGAAGAGGCAAACAGATGGGACAGTCTGTGGGGCAAAAAATCCCTAATGCTAAAACAGTTTTGCAGCAGTGATTCACACAAAATCATTTGACTTGCAGGACAATTTTGATTTTGAGAGAGTTGGACAGTAAACCTTCCAAAATTTGAAACCAAGAACTTTACTGCAGCTCTCTCACATTGGTTAGTTCAGCCTTCCCTTTCGTTCTGGCACTCACACTCCACATCACTTTACATGGCATCGCATGGCAAAAAAGAAAGCAAGTACTTTCAAATGGGATACAGGCACTATGAAACAACAGCAAGTAATAAAGAAGGAAAATTAACTCACCCTTTCTGATGACCAGTAGCAGCTCAAGAGAAGCACGATCCCTATCCAGAGAAACTCTGCTCCCTCCACTGCTAACCCTTAAATGAGGGTGATTTTTGACACTCAGGTGTACTGCTTGCAGCTGAGCTCCCTGGATTAGCCATGCCTCCTCACCTGGTGCTCAATCATTGGTTCAGGCATGAGCTGGCAATTCCACTGCAGGCGTTGAGCCTGAAACACCAGAGGGTCCAGTTCAAAAAGGTCGCTTCCACATCTCTGACTCTTCACCAGAACTCAGTGGAAAAAAAAGAAGTTTGACTTTTTGTCCTGATCTGGAAGAAAACCAAACAAACACACGCACAAAAGAGTTAGAAAGTCTAATTCCATGTGATGGGAATCTGACTTTCTGGATGGCTTTCACTGCTGTCAAGAAGAAGGGTGGCTGGCTGGGAGAGCTCATAAAAGCTTTGAAAATCATTACAAAAGCCCTAAGCTGGCAACACACCCGCCTATCCTTGCATTGACTGCCAATATCTTGTGGATGGGATTTTTGGGGGTCCCCTCAAAGAACTGAATAGACATCTCCCATGACGCCTGATGTCTCCAGGCCTGCTTTTGAAGAGCCCTATGTTTTTTTCATTCCCCTTCTGATAACCAGCGTGGGCCCCCCGCTCACGGGAAGCATTGCTAATGTGCCACCTCCCACCAAGAGAAGCGAGGAGCAGGGGAAAAAAAGCACACGTAGATGTTAAAACAAGGAAATGGAATGTCTACAAGCTGCTTGGAGAGTTCACTCCTAACTCAACTATCCCTATTTGCTATTGAAAGTGGTGATTTAGCTATTTATGGCACTGTAAGCAATCACTCCTGGTTTCCACTTGGCCTCAGATGGATTGTTGGCCCATAGGTCTCACGCTGTACTTAAGCAACAGAAATGAAAGAGGGAGTATAGAAGAGAATGGATCTTTTGGGATGGCCACATCTGGTCCCCATGTGTAAGCCCAGCTTGGTGGGAAGCCCGCTGACAGAGAAGAGTTGCACGCTGTGGTTCTAGACAAGCTTCCTCATGCAAATGTGCAGTATTTATACCCACACCTAATTTTTTACATCCATGTATATGTATCCACAGATGGATATTGAGCAGGTCTGCTCTGATGTGTCTTTTCCACCTGTGTTTGTTTTTTTTTTCCCAGCCATCTCTCCCTCAATAGATAGGGCCACCAGTCCTGAGTCCATTTTTTAAGGCCACTTGAATGTTGACACCCTCTTTCTCAGACTGGAAGACTCTCTTCCTCCTCCCCTCTAGCAGGGTTGGTGTCTTCTTTCCTCAGCGCCCCAGGACCCCAACTGTGACTGAGCAAATTAGGCTGCTGGGATGTTATGGCTAATCAGCAGGACATCTTTAACCTATTACTGGTTTGGACAGCAAGCAAAATAAGCAGGAACAGAACCAACTTGCCTCCTCACTCCAAACATTCATCTCCCAAGGACCCACGCTTGATGCGATATCAAGGAGAGAGTGAGTTTTGGATGCTGCTGGGACTGAGGTATGCTTGGACAGGATAAACCAGAGCACGAAATGAGCACTTGAAGGAGTATTTTCATGTGGTGAGCTCTTAGATTTGCACGTTGCAAGGCCAAAAGGGAGCCACATGTTTCTGAAAATCAGGATTTCTGCAGCAGCACCGGGGAAGCAGGATAAAGCCCTCATTTCCCTCCTGGCTCTCATGATGGAGGTAGGGGTCTGATGCCCCTGCACCCCTCCGAGCCCCCTGTCCTCATGAGACCTTCTTTGTGGACTCACCCAGTGACCCCTGCCTCATGGAGAATTCATTCCCCCACCGTGCAAAGGCACACATAGAAGCCCATAAACAGGCCCCAAGCTAGCAATTACATTTGGAATTGCACATCAAGCATGGAGCCAAGTGATCCCAAGCGATGGAGCAGTCTCCAGCCCCCAGGGCAGCTGATTCAAGAGCTATTTACGCTCATGCTATCAAAGGCATTTCATCTTGTCCCTCTGTTCTCAGTGTGCTGTGGCTTGGGATGCTTCCACCCTCCCCAAGAAGGGAACCCCCAGTACAGCACGAGAAGATGGCAGAAACATCACCGTGGGCTCACGTTTCCCTACTGCTACATGAACAGCTGAGTATTTGCCACTGAAGATCATCTTCCACTACGATGATCATAAGCATGGCCAAGTTTTGAATACTGGCATCAGAAGTTCCCAAGTACTGCAGAAAAAGGAGAAAAATCCCAAATCTGACTAAAAACAGAACCAAGTCGCTGACCGAAAGGCATGTTGTTCAATGAAAGTATTGCATTTTCTTCTCTTTAGATCACGCCACGACTCTTGCAGCGGGGGGGAATTTCTGTGGCTAAAAATGATAATGAGAACCAGGGTCTGAGCAAATGGCCCTGACACTGTTCTTGGAGGATGGTGTTTGCACATGCTCTGGGTGCAGCAGGCTTCTTTGCCAGTCACTGAGCAGTGGGCTTTGTTCACACACAGGTTGCTTTGCATTCCCAAAGAACACGGGCAACGTTTGCCACTCTCACCTGAATTTGACTCAGTGGAAGGCAGAAGCAAGAGGATTATGTATAGGAGCTGAGACGTGAAGATTTCCCCTGCTCCATTTTACACAAGCTGCAAACCCTTTCCCCCCAGCAAACTGAGCAAGCCTTAATTACTCCCATAATTCTGCCTTCAAGGGACGAGCCAGCCACATTAATCAGATCATGAGAGCAATTGCTCTGAGCATCATACTCCCAAACACAAAGGCCAGGGTATGATCTGAAAAAATAAACCTAAAATGCTATTTGGATTATATCAACGTGCAGGAAAACAAAGGAAAAATTACCCCAGAGCTTTCTCTCCCAAGCTAGTCTCCAGCTTTGGGTTTTATGTGACTGTCTGCATACAGTCCCATTATTTTCCCTCCATTCTCATCCCCTATCTCTGTAACAAGGACCTTTGCCAAATAGTACTTCCATCTAGGATGTCAGGAAGGCATTCAAAGATACAGTGCATTCAAATAAGGATTGGAAATCATTTCCTTGCAGGAAGGAGCTATCCCTTCTTGCCTTCTCCTCCTTTTGATTATTCTTCTCAGATTAGAGATAGTCAGGAAATTACATGGTGTTGAGAAAAATAAAAGAGAAAATAAAAGAAAGAGAAACGTTAAGGAAAAGGAAATTTTTTTCATTTCCTGCCAAAAATAATCCCACAACTTCTGGGGGGTTTCAGATGCCTGGTTATATTCCTTTTTTCTTTCAGTAATGAAGACGGATGGCTGGCGACGGTGGAACCACCAAAGGCCAACATTTGCCTTGAGTAGATCCCAGCCACAAGTGAGAAGATGCAACTTGGCCCCATGTATTTATGACTGGGGGAAAGAGAGCTTTCCAAAGAATGGAGATGGAACGTAGCTGAGTTATCTGCTTCTAATATTAGATCAACCTCAGGATTGGAATGAGGTGGTAAAAGTACGTTCATCACAATGATTTATATATAGCTTTTGTAAGAGGATATTATATGACAGGCTATACCACGCTTAGTTTAACTCCACCTGAATGGTCTTTGCATTGTCTATTTCTTGCAGTTTATATATATTTACAGATGCCTATGATATTGGTATCAGTATGGAAACAGCCAATACAGCCTGCAAGTACACCTATATATACACGCATATACGTACACGAGGGCTTTTTTGTACCAAAGTGGAGTAAAATCAAGTCAACTGCCTGCTTCTGCAGACCAGCCTTCCATCACCACCTATAATACTCTGCAGCCATCTAAATCTGCCCATAGATGCCACCCAGATCCTCTTCCCCCAACTTTCTGATCAACTTTCCTAGCTTCATCTCTTGCAGCTGTACTCCACTTGAAAAATACAGAGCCCAAAGCTTTGACATTGCTTCTGCTTTGTGCTTTTGCGCTACAAACCCCTCGGTCCCATGGAAGAGCAGTGCTCTATCACACAGCATTGATGTGCTTATCTAAAGCCCATGAATGAGTAATCCCACCCGTTGTGACTTTGGTAATGGGTCCTTGGCATTTTTCTGTAGAAGAAACAATAACAGCTGCATGGTCATTGTGATATTAAGACCCACCTGAAGGGTGGTTGGAGTTGATATGGGGATGCAGCTGCATTGAGGGGGCTGGCTGAGGGCTCCAGTAGGACATTTCACTGTAGTTTGTATCTGGGGAAGGACAACAACACAGAGACTACAGGGAGAGTCTTTTTTACCAGGCCAGCAAGTGCCTGCAATACCAGGAGAAGGAGGAGTAAGAGGGACAGGTTTCACACTAGGGCTGCAAAAAAGCTCTTAAATCCTCACTATCCTTTTTTTGCGGGGCGAGATTTCCCCCACTCAGTTCATTTTCTCACTGCTTCCAAGAAAGGGCTGTAAGATTGTCATGGGCTTGGTAAGGCCACAAGATGTTGTGATGGGCTGTGACAGGGCTGCTGTCTTCTGTGATCCTGATGCTAACCAGGCTCGGTGGACACAAGCTCTCAGTAGTCTATAAATCATTCCATTGGCATGATGTTGTGTAGCTCAGCACGGCATAACATCACATCTCTATCCCACCTCCCTTCCTCAACCCACTGTTTCCAAACCTACTGCCCCATTCCACTGCTCCACCAACATCTCTTAAGGAGCTCCTGTGGACTCACATTAAATATCTCTCCATGGGGAGTACTCATTAGTCAGCTGCCGTGATACAGATCTTAGAGCAACAACCAATAAAGCTTCAGCATGCAGGCATCTGGAACAAGCGGCAGAAAACCCATCTCTCATCCCTAATCTAAGTAGCTTCAGACTGGGGATGCTGCCGACACAAGGCATTGGTTTGTTTTCTTTTCTTATGGCAGAAGATCAAAACAAAGCCGAGAGCGTGGCAGAGTCCTCAAGGTCAGCAGGGGAATAGGCAGGGATCAAAGCAGCATCATTAGCAGAGTAAGGCAGCACACGCCAGCTTGTGCATCCCAAATGGAGCAACTCAACCTGGTTAGCCCCTCTGCCTCCATGGAGAGGAGCCCCAAGCTGCTCTTCTCCTGGCTATCATGCCTAGTAATCACCACTGCCAGAGCTGATACTGCAGATTGGGTTGGAGCTTCAGCTTGGAGGACATTGCATTAACTCGCCTGCTCATTTGCATAAAGCATGTATCTACTTAAAAGCTGTAAGCTGGACATTCATGCCATGGAAGCAGTGAAAAGGATGACAGGGCCTCTGGCATTGTCACAGAATCATAGAATCACCAAGGTTGGAAAAGACCTCTAAGATCATCCAGTCCAACCGTTTACCTTTCATCAGCAGTTCTCACTGAACTACATCCCTCGGTACAACATCTAAAGGTCATGTTGGGGTGCAGAGAAAAGGCTGACCAAAGATCCCTGTTTTCCCACTGCTGGGACCTTTAGGACACCTTAATGGTGCCCATCGCAGCCCCATGGCTGGACATTCAGGGAGGGGACATGGAGGGGACTTCAGTTTCACAAACAGAATGGGCTTGGCAACCCTTCAGAAGGAATAAGTGCTATTTAGACTGACATTTTTCCCCCCTGAAAACTGAAAAACACCAAGTTAATAAAAGAGAGCTGAACTGGCATGCTTCTCTTGGGGTTGCCTCATCTCCCTAAGCCTCCCACTCTGCAGTGAAATAGAAATCTGCACTCCTGCTCACACTGGAGCCTTCAGGCTTTCCTGCAGCACAATAGTATAAACCAAACAGACTAAAGTTCTGGACAGAGGAGAGAATAAATTGGATCCCTCCAAAGCTAAATACTGCCTTGTGGAAACTTGCAGGGCTGTAAGCCTCTCGCAGTTCATCACTCTAGAGCAAATAAGCTAGTGGTCTCCATCCCACAGTGGGCAAGCATCCAACATTCAGACGCTCCATCCCTGCACGATGGTGGTCATAGGACATCCTCGCAGTGTCTGCTGGATGGGGAGAGCATCCAGACACAAGGCATGTACACAAGCCCTTGCTCATCCCCAAAGAAGAACAGAGAAGACCAGTCCTGTTTCAGTGGCGCACAGCAGTCCACAGCATGATGAAGATGGTGCCCTGGGTTCCTGCCAGCCATCCTTCTGACAAAATACCAGTGTTGTGTTTGTTGTTTTTTAAAAAAGGTGGAACAGAGCTTCTCAGAAGAGGACGTGTTAAAAATTAAGGACCAAGTTGATGCTGCATCCATTTGGACTTCATCCTTGGATGAGATGTGCCACACAATGAGTCAAGGTTCAGCACATCAGGCAAGGCACCAACCCCTAGGCTGGTGCTGCCAACACTACTTGGCCCAAGCTGTAGATGGCTGCTAAAACCACTACATCCACCCATGAGCAGCCACTGAATGGCTGGAGCCATTTTTCCAAACTGTCACAAATGTATTTCTCAGTGCATGGGGATTTCCATAACTTTTCACGCATATGGAGATTTTATTTTTCCCTTCTTTTTCAATTACATGTTTCATTAACCGCCTGCACCTCCTGATTTGCTGCTGACTAGCTGAGGCTTTCAGACTCGAGAAATGAAGAAGGAAATAAAGCAATGATCTATTACCATTTACAGCTGCCACGGGATGCCACAAAACTTAATCAGCTGTTTGTAAAATGCATTCAGTAGAGTAGCAAGGGGAAAAAAAAGCTGGAAAAAGCAGCAATCCCCGGCTGAAGATAATTCCCACCCAATCTCCCCCTCGATTCTCTTTCAAAGAAATGCCTAGGGAAGTGGAAGTGCTTACAGTGTGCTCTGCTGATGACAGATTACTGAGGAAGCATGGTCTGCGATGGGCTTTCAGCTGGCTGCAGAAGTCCTCCCTGGTCAGCTCTGCAAAGTGCAAGTGGGTTTAGTCAGTACTCCTGTTTTCTGCAAATTTCAGTTAGAGTTTGCCTCTGTAAAACAGGCTGGAGAAAGCGATGCCCATAGAGGTGTTTCCCAGTGAAGAGCAAGCACCTCCACATCCAGCCCTAACCCCCTGGGTCAGCATGCTCATCACCATGGCTCCTCCCATGGGGTTGTGGGGACAAAACCATCGGACCCTCTTCTGACAAGACAATTCCAATAAAACTGCTGACCTGAAGCAAATCCTGCCAGGACTGACAGCTCCACACAGCTTTTTCTCAAAAGGAAAGGCAGCAGGCAAATAGATGTGGGCCTCTGATAGATAGGTGTGGGCCCCTTCCAGCTCTTCCCCATTGAACTGTGCAAGCAGCAAGCACCGCTGCCACAGCAGCTTTAGAGGAATTTGGCTGGTCCCACACTTGCACGTTCCTCCTCATAATACCTCTCCACTCCCCAAGTCAGCCCACGTTAATTGTATACAACATCTTAAAGACCACCCAGTTTGCGCTGTAAAGCATTCAGTGATGGATAAAAATAACAATTGCATTGAGAGAGGCCAAGTTCCATGCCAAAAAGATTAGCAGTGGGAAAATTCCTCCTTTTGGGAGCTTTGCAGCCAAGGCCCAGCCCTTAGGGTTCATGACCGGCAGCAGGCCTCACGTACATTTAACAGCTATTGGTAAAATCTGGGAAGAAGCCTAATTCTGGTGACTTCCACTAAATCTTGCCTTTGTCCTGATTCATAAAAGAGAGTCATCAGATCACTCACCCTGGCGGGACGATAGGCAACCAGCACTGAGTTTCATTTATCAGGGACATTATGGGTGGTGGTACAGGAGGGATGTACAAACTGCAGAAACAGCTTTCTCTTCTACTCGCTAAAAAAGAAAGGAAACAAAACAAAACAAAGCAGAAAACGTTGAGGATGTTAGAGAAGAAGGAAGGATCACCTGATTTGTTTGTCAAATAGACTTCCACTGGACATTTCCAAGGAAAGGACAGATGGACGCCTCAATATGTCAATGAATACCACACTGCGTAATGAAGAGTCACGGAAAGGACAGGAGCCTAACTATGAACTGCAGAGAAAAATGTTCCTCTGAGGCAAAGGGAAAACACTGACCAACCTCAAGTTTTTCTAGATCTGCAAAAAAGCAAGGAAGGAATAAGTAGGCCTGAGATGTTTGCTAGACACAAGAGATTCAGCCCATCACTGTGCTGATAGATCTTGCTCTACTATGCAGAAAAGCTACCATGGTCCGCTGCCTAAAATGGTGAATTAGAAACCTCTGCTTACTTGGAAATTTTAGAAATCTTTTTAAAATGTTTTTCTTCTTCAGGAATCCCTGAGCCCAGTCTCTTCTGAGAAGACCTATTTGAAATAGCTGTGCTAATGTTTGCAGTTTGAGTGACCCTTTTAGTACAGAAGTGAAAGATGTGCATTTGTGAAACCAGCAAGAATTAACGATGTATGAATCAGCTCGGTTACTAAAACAGTAAATCAGTAAAGTCCCAAAAGCTTCTAGCCAGCATAGCCCCATTCACAAGCAGTAGGGTCTTGCAGAACTGCTGGGTGAGGAAGTCACCATATAGTCTCCATGCACACACAGACACGTTTTTGTTTGTTTTCTCCCTTTCCCCATCTCCAGCCAGCTTGTGACCACTGCTAAGATGAAGCCTGTCTATAAACTACCAACCAGGATACAGACTGACCAGACACTGTGTTTAACAGGCAGCACTGGCAGCTTGGACACCTAATGAGGGAATGGGAACTGGAAGAGCACATAACAGTAACATTTAAAGACCAAAATCATTTATCTGAATCTCACTCTGCCAGGATCCTGGTGAATATTCTTCCAAGCCAGTTAAGAATAGCATGGGATAACAACTGCAAACAGACAGCCATGATGAAAAAAGGGTGCTAAAAACCTTCAGAATTAATTAACAAGTTCCAGCCCTTCAAGGCTTTTTTTCTAAGAGCCTTCAAGCCTGGTTTTGATTGAATTATTTAACCACGGAGCCTGTTAGTCCCTAGCAAACACCCCCAAATAAATACGGCTGCTTCTTTGAGCTTGACATCATTTGGATCCTGCATATGGGATTTGGTGATGGTGCCACCCAGCCAGATGTTTCCAGTGCTTTCTGAGAGAAATGCACCTCTCCTTTTATTGGACACCATGGCAAGAGAGCCCACGTGGAATGTAAACTCTGTGTGCAGAGATATATGTTTTCTCTCACTGTTTATAAACACACAGAGCCCAGTTCTTCCTCCACTGGGGTTATATGAACCCAGAATTTATTAACGTTGGAGAACGCGTTCCTGATTTACACTGAAGTAAGAGAGCAAATTGTTTGCAGGACAGAAAATAGGTCAGCAAGCAATCGCTGCTTCTACATACAGATCTGAATACACATGCAGCACAGTATTCAGATCAGCTGCAACAAACAAACTCGCCTCAAAGCACATAACAGCAAACCAGAGACTCCAATGGGAAGATAGGGAAAAGTTGCCTCGTCCTTACCAGTGGGAAGGGAGATTGCTCAGTGAAAAATGCCTTTGGTGACATCTCATTTTGGCATCTGCCTTGACATCCCTGGGCCAGACCTTACATTTTCTTTCCCAAAAGAGCAGAGCCAGGCTTTTACAGACTATACAGCCATAGATCCACCAAGGTGGTGCCAGCTTCTCACCCAGCTTCTTGATGCTCTGTGGGTCAGAGTTCTCTCTCTTCCACTTCTCCTGCCATGACGCTTGGCCTTGTGCTGCTCCATCCCTTTTGCTGCCCTGTTAGAAACACAGGCCAGCTATAAGAGACAAAGTCAGGTTGGTGTGTGAGCCTATTTTCTCCCACTCAAATGCCATCCCAGCCTTCGATCCCTGCTAAAACATAGAATGGCTTAGGTTGGAAGAGACCTCAAAGATCATTTCGTTCCAACATCCCTGCCATGGACTGGGTTTCCAACCATTAGATCAAGCACCGGATCAGATTGCTCAGGGCCCTGAACACCTCCAGGGATGGGGCACTCACAGCTCCTTGGGCATCAGGGCCAGGGCCTCACCACCCTCTCATATTTTAACATCAAAAATTTGTGATACTTGCAAGGCTAAGCTCTAATAGAGATGCATTTTCTCACCCCAGCACTGCTGTTATAGTTGAACCAACCATACACTCACACAAGAGCAAAGCACTGTATGTATACATCTGCTTACCCACACATATATTTATAGATGTACACATACACATCAGGAGGGGACACATAAATATCTATAGTACACAAATGAGCAGTTTCAGGAAGCTACAAGACACAAGGGAGGATTTTGTTTAGAAAGTAGTTTCCCCCTTCCTCCCTGCCAGGCGAGATCTCTAACATCTGCTCCTCCAGCCAAGCCAAAGGGGAGGTGAGTGCCAAACAGAAGCCACACAGACAGGACACGCTTTGATGGGATGATCCCTTGACTTCAGATGGTTGAAGAACGTCACCAATCTATCTGGAAACACCAGGCTAGGGACAGGCTCACTGCCAAGAGAGGAAAATGGATGTGACCAAGTGACCAAGATGGGATGATTCGACCAGGGGCATGTCTCAGCAACTGGAGTAACCCAGCATCCCAGTGTGCAGCATCTGGTGCTGCATGGCAGGGAAAAGGGATGGCCAGCAGCCAGAGGAAGAGAGATTAGATTAATGGAGGTGGGTACGTGTTACACCCTGCAAAGCACAGAGCTATCGGAGTTTGACTTCCAGCCCAACCACTCCCTTGGGAGATTAGATCCTCATGACTGCAGGAAAAGATCGATATCAAACATCTTCCCCTGCTCTGGCATATTCCTTTGGGAAGGCAGTGCCAAGCCACATGGAAGCACACCCTTCCTCCACATCAAGCCATGCGTGACAGCCCTCAGCACTGCAACGACTGCTCAGATACCCCTGCTGGAGCTGAGCAGCAATCTGAACTGTGAATCATACATACTTAACAAATTCCTATTGTAAAAAGTCTAGCAGTTGTACTTACGCTGGGCTTCTACAGAATGAGAAACGTGCCATTTTCATAGGAACCAATTCCCACAAGCCCTCCTCCTTCTTTCCATTACCCCAAAGAAGGGAGTTTGACCAAGCACAATACTTGGAGCTTTCTATTTCTGTTCCAGACTGCTTGGAGGCAGAGGTGTAGGGATAAACACAACATCTGTATTTATGGCACCCCTCTGTAGCTGACTCTACTGACCCTAGCCCGAGACCCACCTTCCTTTCAACCCAAGAGCATCATCACAACGAACTCACATTGGCTGGCCTGTTAAGAGGTACAGACCAGAAGATTATTTAAACAACATGGTAGCTTCTGTCACAACCACTTTGCCTGTAAGACTGTTTTTTCTCTACCACTTTTATAGATTTCCACACAAGAGCCTAAAGGAGAGAGAAATTAACACTGGGATGTGTCCTAAGACTTTGGCATAAAGTACATACACCAGAAACAGGGTGGATGCTGCAATCTGGAGGGTTTTTTGTTTGTTTCTTTGCTGTATATTTGCTCTCATAAACTAGCCAGCCTAAAGTGAAGTATCTGGGGTGAGCCATGCTCAGGGGTACTGCAAAACACCCCACAGAGGTGGTGAGAGCATACCTGCTGTGAAAGCTGAAAGGTTCTGAAGGAGAATTTCTCCAGCTTAAAAAGCATAAAATCAAAATCTTTCCCCAGATGATTTCCACTTTGTTTAAGGGGGAAGGTCATTTTGAAAAAAGTTAAGTATTTCTGTTGGAAAACTTGAATAGCCAAGCCATGGGAGTCTGTTAAACTTACTTCCTGCAGCCATCAGGAAAAGGTGAAACTGAAATACTCCATCCAGGAAAGCCCCTTGGGAAAAGAAAACCTACGTGTTCACTGCTGATCTTCCTCCCCTTTCTTCTTGGAGAGGAGGGGGCCCTCTATATACACTCTCATCCAAAAGGGAAGCAGAATCCTTTCTCTAACCAGCTCCACTTGACACCAGTTTGCACACCCACGTGCAAAGCCCTTTCGCTGCCAACACACTAAATCCATTCAACCCTCATTCTGTGCCATGTGAAGAGCTCTTCCTCTGCATCCAGCCTTCCAACAGAGACTGCACATGCAGTGAGACAATTTTTCCCAGTTTGATTGGAGTGGCACTCCCATTCAAACCCTCTGACAATCAGCAGAGAGGAAAAGCGATCCAGAACAGCCTGATGATTAGTTCCTTCCACGCTTAGGAAAAGCCCTTAGGAGGTTCAGCAGAGAGCTACACCCGGCCACCAGAGACATTCCCCATGCTTTGAGCATCATATGCAAGATTTTGGGGTGTTATTCCATGGGATGAAAGAAACGTCACCATCTATATGCATGGTAGTTCAACAATGAATCTGTTTCTAGATGGGCTGAAGGTGGAGTTGGATGCATTCCTGTTCTGATCAAAGTTCAGCTTGTAACTTCAAAAGCCTTTTCATTAAACCCAGCCACACAAGGTGGAGGGGTGTGGGTTTCATTGGAAGGGATTTGGGATGGCCAGGAGAGGTGTGGCTGAGCAGCTCAGCCTTCCTTGTCTCCCAGCACTGGGGGAAGAACCTGTGTTTTTGTGAAACTGAGCACTGCTTGGCTGCTATTGACATAAATCTGCCTTTAAGCCACATGTTGTGAAGAATACCCCAAAGCTCAACATGCTGGTCCAGGTGCTTATGGCTGCAAGCCCAAGGCAGAGAGGCCTCACATTGCCTAATCCCAAAAAACAGGAATAGAAGAGCAAGAATCACAGTGGGAAGGAGGTTGAGTGAGAGGACAGAGAGGACCAGGGACAGATGTGGGCTTAGAAGGCCTTGCCCCAAGCAGGCTCCTGTGTGGCTGTGGCATGACAGGAGGCCATTTGGGGTGGCCCTCTCTCTGGGCAGAGGGACACACTCTGTGGGTCCTACTCTGGGTCTGCTCCCATTGGAAGCAGGCAGGAATTCTGCCAACGATGTGAGTAGCAACAGGTTCCAGAGATGGGAGCTGTTTTAACTCAAGCACCCAGCAGAAAAGCATTTGGTGTTTTTGTTGGATGCCTCTTTGCCAGGTTAGTGAGTTAAATCAGAGTCCAAGAAGCACTGAAGCCAGCATTAGATAAACAGAGGGAGAGCAGGATAGAGCAAGGCTGATAAAAAGGGGAAATCTCCACTTTGTTAAAGCAGAGATTGCCTCCAGCTGCCTCCCAGCCCCAAGTACTGGAACTTGGAAGGAGCAGTGGAGAGGGAAGCCACGCATGAGTTGAGATGAAAATTGGATGTTATCTACAATATTTCTGTGTGTTGTAGGGTACATTTCCATGCAGACCATCCAGCAAGGATGACATGAATTGTTCGAACCACTGGCAAAAGTGAGAACAGACAAAATTCTCAGTGTTTTGCCATGGAAGTGTTGGGAGATTGGAGAACACGTGTGCAGTTGATCATCTCAGTGCAGAGTGGCAAGAAACAGCTAGCAGCTACCGAAATCACCAGCCAGTAAATCATAGATTCAAGGAATAGCTTGGGTTGGAAGTGACCTCAAAGACCATCCAGTTCCAAACCCTGTTATGGGCAGGACTGCCAACCTCTAGATCAAGCATGAGATCAGGCCCCATCCAACCCAGCCCTCAACACCTCCAGAGATGGGGTATTACACTACTCTGTGCTTATTAAGGTGATCAGGATCAAATGAGGTGAGACCGTAACTTGAAGAGACTTGAAGTGCCACATAAGAAAGAACATCATTGCTGTCATTTCAACAGCTGGGGAAACTGAGGCATGGGAAGCAACTATGACTTGCTGCTGCTCATCCTGCTGCCTGTGGCAGAGAATCCATCTCTCCAGAGCAATTCAGCCTAATCTGAGACCCACAGGCCCAGCTGTGGGTCCATCTCCTACAGTTTTCTACAGTGGCAGCCCATGGGAGAGCTCCATAAGGGCTGCTGGAGATTGAGCCATGAGAATTTTTCTTTGCCATAATTTTCCACAGGGAGGATTTGCTGGATTTTGCAATCTCTGCAAAGCTCAGAGAGGCTCAAAGCTTACTTTACACTTGTAAGCTACAAGAGATATGATTAAGAGGAGGAAAAAGTAGTACTTAGAGAGCTTTTTCTTACCCTTTGACACAGGAGATGTGACGTAGCTATTTCAGCTCCCAAAATCCAACTGCATCCAGGAGAAAGGTTAAAAGCTAAACATCTCCTCCCTTGGTAGGAAGATACACAGCTTGGGAATTCCTGTTTATAAAACTGCAATCAGCGCAAGTGCAAATTAGGCAGAATCAGTCAAGTGTAAGAAATTGCTATCAGAATATCTGATATCAGAAATAGCAATTTAAAACCGCTCTGGTTGCTGAGCTTTCATAAAGTCTTCCCAAGACCGCATTTCTATGCTGCATGTCACCACGGAAGACACCCGAGATGCAGTGAATTCCTCCCTCCCCCTTCCCCCCCCAGTTAATTTGAATTATGCCACAAAACAGATGTGCTCTCTGGTGCACAGAGAACCTTCTTCTTCAATTTCGTGTCGCATCAGCTCTTATTATTCCCTCCCTTTGTCTGAAGTGACATAACGAGTCGTGACACCCTCGTATATCATCAAGAGACACGGTAGCAACTACACTCAAGTTGGGAAGAGTAGTTTTATATATACATATGTGTCTATATGTCTACTGTCTTGATGGGAGAAGGTGTGTGTGTGGTAGGAGAGATTCCTCCTTCTGCATAGCAAGGCTGACACAAGGCATCAGCACCAATGAAGACCTCACAACGGAGCAGCATGCAGGACTGAGGGTGAAATTAACTGGCGAATCGTATGGAATTTCACCCTCTGGGCTCAGTTCCCAACTTGTGGGAAACAATGCAGATTTGATCTGAAGCTTGGAAAGGAGGAAGAAATCATTAGAAACGCCCAGCCTTGCCTCTTGTGTTAGAGCAGGTTGTGCTTTTCACCCAGAAATTCCTACATCGAGTCCAACAACAAAAGGCTTGAGAGGAAACCACTGCCGTATGACAGACAGAAACTTAGCAAAAGCTGACAAAAAAGGCACAAGATCCTTTGGACATCTATGCTGATGGTCTGTACTCTCTGATCTTTACAAAACATTAATCTAATACCCATTTTCTGCCTTCAGACCCTGTCACTGATTGGCTCTTTTTCCACTGGGTTGCAGACATCGTTAGACACGTTAGGGACACACAACCACGACCACAAGAAATATGTCCTTCAGCACGACTAAATGTTGTTCTCCCAGCATTCAGTTCAACCAGTTCTCCCCTACAAGAGCCCCTGGATCCTGCCCAGAAGCCCATCTCTCTCCATTGCCGCTGTTACCCCAACTTGAACTTACCCCAAGCATACAGCAGTTCATCTGCACACCCACACCGCAGCGATGCACAGGGATATGGCCATGGCTCCCATCTCCTTTAGGAAAGTTGCTGTATGAAGAGCTTAGTGCTGAGCTGTAAGGTAAATTTTCCAGATGTGAGCCATTCTTTGCATCAAACACAGGGGGAAAAGTCTGATTTTACAGCGCTTCTGGCAAGGGAATGCAGAGAATGTGTTGTAAACACTCCTGCCGTCAAATAGGTGGTAAATCGAGCCATGCATGTTTGAAATACTGTACTTTGAAGAACCAGTGGGAACAATTTGGAGTTTTGAGCTCTTTCATTCAAATTGTCTTTTCTATTCCTTTTTTTTTTTTTTTTTTTTAAATTAAATTTAAGATGATGTGGAAATTTTTCTCTCCTTTGCAGTGCCTCCCCTGGAAGTGCTCAAGAAACGTTTAGATGCTGTACAGAGGAACTGGGTTAGTGGGAAATATTGGTGGTAGGTGAACGGTTGGACTGGATGATCTTGGAGGGCTCTTCCAACGTTGGTGATTCTATGCTGCTCACTCCTAGGAAGGCAAGGAGAACTAGCTGGCAAGAAGCAATCTGCAGTGATGTTTTGCCATCGCCACTCTCCATTGCTGCACTGGCAGCCTGCTCACAAGCAAAAGAGAACTGAAATGCAGCACCAGAGGCCATTTCTGAGTCCTTGGCACCACTGGAATAAGCCTCTTGGGTCATATCATTTGTTAGGCACACAGTCTGAGTTAGGTTTTGAAATTAAGGACCCCCACTGCCTCTAGGAAATCACAGCCCTGCGGTGCCGAGGGGCTGCCCCTTCTGTCAGATGGACAGGGGTGTTTTCCCACCTTCAAAAGATCTCTATCCATAACCAAGCAAACAAACAAACGAACCCACCAGCGACCTTTCATTCCTCCAGAGAAAATATTTTAAGTCTCTCAGATAAAAGAGCCAAGCCTGACAAGGCATTTCATGTGCTTTTCATGAATTTTTGCAGGAGGTGGTTTCTGGACTGACTTAAGGAATGCACTTAGCATGCTGTTTCCCATATATAAAACCCTGAATTAGCATTTCTCCCTACGATTCTCAGTGTGATTCTGCTATGCACAGAGTATCACAGGATAAGCAAAACCCCATAAAAAGTCTCTCATAAAACTGTCCAGCGCTTGGTTTTGTTTTGTTGATCCCCTGACTTCATCGATTGTTCCGTCTGCTGATAGGAACAAAGTCTCCTCCACGATGCTTTTATGCAGACAGTGCTTATCAAGGATGTCTGAGCATGCACACACATCAGGGCTCTGTCTCCCTGCATCTGATGCCTCGGAGGCCTTGTGCAACCAAAACCAGCCACATCTCCATGGCTTTCCAAGACAGAAGCAGGACAGGTGACTGTAAGAGCAGATGGGTCATTCAGTTCTCTCTTGAACAGTATCTGGAGATGCTCTCTTTGCTGGATGTCAGGGGATCCCTTCTGACCCTACAGCAAGCAGCTAGTGCACAGGCAAGGCAGCATTAACAAGAGAAACATAAGCATTTTGTGCTTTTATGGGAGGCCCAAGAACGTCTGGGAGTTGATGGTCAGGGCCGATCCAATTATTCCTTAAAAGCACTCTAATGTGAAGCTGGCTCGGTTCCCTTCGGTACCTGGCGTCTAATTTATGGGGTAATGTTTCTTTAAGACTGGCATTAAAGAGCAGAAGTAACAATCTTGGGTTAAGAAGGTTAGGCATTATGTCCAGATTAGTATTATCAGATGACCCGAAGCAGGGGTTATATTAAAAAAAAAAAAAAGCCTTAATTAAAAAATACAGGTCAGAACCAGTTTAAGCTCCAAACCTCCGGTTATGCTCACTAATTAGAAGGCTTGGACGCATGCCTCAGAGTGATGGATGAGCTCTACCTGCCTCGTGGCATCACACGAAGAGATGGGACGTGGCTCCCCAGGCGCAGGTCTTGGGCTTCATTTAAATCCAACTTTCTTTTTTCTCTGCAAGCAGAAATACCTGAATTGCACGAGCGGAGCGATTCCAAGCAAGAAACACGTGTGAAACCCCAGTTCCAGCACAACTTCTCATGACTATCAACCAGACTAAAGGAGATCATGGAATCATATAATGGTTCGGGTTGGAAGAGATCTTAAAACCCACCCAGTTCCAACCCTCTGCCATGGGCTGGGTGCCTCCCACCAGATCAGGCTGTCCAGGGCCCATTCAACCTGGTCTTGAGAGCCTCCAGATGGGGCACCCACACTTCTCCAGGCCAGTTGAGATGCCAAAAAACAGATCACGCATTCCATAAGAAGACTGTTTGGAAAAAAAAAAAAAAAAATGTACCCACACAAACTTACTCTTTTTTCTTTTTTCCCCACCACATCCAATTTCATCCCAGTGAAAATTTAAATAATTTGCGTGTTTCATTTGTGTGCCTGCTCCCTTGCATGAAGATTGAGTCATGGAGTCGCCAAGGTTAGAGAAGCTAAGATCACCCAGTGCAACTGTGTACCTACCACCAATATTTCCCATTAAACCATGCCCCTCAGTACAACATCTTAACGTTTCCTGAACACCTTTAGGGACGGTGACTCCACCATCTCTCTCCTGGGCAGCCCATAGAGGTTCTGCTTGGTTCTGCTTTGCCTTTAGAAAAGCAAATTGGTAATCTGACAGAGAAAACAGCATAGGGGAAAACAGTCTTCTAATTCAGAGAAAAGCACTGTTCCTTAGTTTGATAGGTTTTTCAGGACAGTGGGAAAGGGAACAGTCACAGAAACAGGTAACTGATATTAGCTCTTTTTCCCTTCAAGGACATTATCACAGAATCACAGAATGGCCAGGGATGGAAGAGACCTCAAGGATCACGAATCTCCAACCCCCTGCCACAGGCAGGGCCACCAACCTCCCCATTTAATACCAGTCCAGGCTGCCCAGGGCCCCATCCAACCTGGCCTTGAACACCTCCAGGGATGGAGCATCCACAGCCTCTCCGGGCAGCCTGTTCCAGCACCTCACCACTCTCTCTTGCAAAGAACTTCCCCTTGACATCCAATTGCTGTCCTTTCCCTTTATTTAAACACTGAACAAACAGCTGCCAAAGCCCACATGGTGAGGCCTCTTGTTCCCTTCTGAACTGGTGTGAGGAATAGGTTAGGTGGTCTCCCACCTAATCCCACCACCTTGCCAATCCAAGCAGAAGAGGGACAGCAGCCCACCCCTGTTAGGTACAGCCCTAGGGGGGCACCAGGCGACCAAACCCAAACCATCGTGCCCACTGCCCTCACTGGTACAGATTGCCCAGAGGGTGGGAGGTGTTCAAAGCCAGGTTGGATGGGGCAATGGGCAACCAGCAACCTGACCTGATGCAGGCAACTAGCCCATAGCAGGGACTGGAACTAGATGATCTTTAAGGTCCCTTCCAACCCAAGCCATTCTGTGACTCTGTGAACGCAAGGAACAATTTGACTAACAGCTCCTGCATCCAACAGCGGTGGCAGAAACAAACCCCCCACCGAGATGAACGGCGCAGCACCACGAGATCCAGAGGGCAAAGGACATCACCACGGGCAGCAATTTGTACAGCCCCGTGCACGGCACTGAGCACTGATCAGAGCCACGCGGTCTCAGGCCTGACAGATATTACATTTCCCTGTAATCCTCGCTCCTTTGTAACGGCAACGCGCTCCAGCCCATGCCTGGGGAGCTCTGTGATGCGTGACGGAGGGGGAATGCTGTTTGGTGGGAGCTGCTGACAGCTGAGTACTCCGCGACCGGGCGAGCTAGCACAGTTGTTGGCTCCTGGAAAACACAGAGAGAGAAACAAAGAGGCACGGCGCGTCTTGGGAGCGACATCGGGTGCTGAAGCCTTCCCTGCTGCAGAGCAGGCAGAGGCTCTCCTCCAACTGAGATTTATGACGAGAGAGCACGTCTCTCCTAGGAAGCCTGCGGGGTTTCTGGTTCTCATCTCTTCCTCCCTGCAGCTGCCACATCGCTCAGCTCCGCAAACGGCATAAATCAGCGGGAGCGGCGAGGAGATGAAAGCGTAAATAGGCCGTCAGAGCAGTTACTGACACGACAGGGCAAATTCTGCCCTGACAGACACTCTGCAATCCTCCATTCATTGCGAGGGATGTGGGATGGGCGTCCGTCAAGGGGAAAGCCATCCGGATGTGGGTTCCATCCACAGCGGGTCAAACCGACGGGTGCCTGCAGGTCGGGTCCTTAGGCTGGAGGATGCTTCACTGCTTTGCTCCAGCTGAGGTTTTTGGTTTTAATAGTTTCCCCGTACTTTATCACCATAAATCCAGTGCCCTCCCATCGATCTCAGGGATTTGTGTGCCAGCAGAACCTGAGCAGGGCAGTGGAGGCTGCAGGAGGATGGAGCACAGAGAGCCTCATCCGATGGAGGATGGGGAAAGCCAAGCGAGGAGCACGGAGCCCTTTCATTCAGAACTCAGCTTTGATACCTGCGCTTAGATATCTGGAGTATCTTACAGTCTTCTGTTCTTGACTTGTGGGTGAGAAGCCCGTCTTTTTATGTGCAAGGAGGAAAAAAGTCTTTCTAAGGCACCTCTTCAAAAGCTGTGAACTCAAAGGAAAGGACCCACACGTACTCCAGAATCTTAAAGACTGCTCCTGACCGAAGGGTGGGGAGACTGGGAGGGTCCCCAAGAGGAAGCAGCTCCCAGGGCTTTGCAGTTTGGCTTCAGCTCACTGCAAACTCCAATGAAAATAAAAAAATCAGTCGTAACAGGAACTGATTAGAAATAACTGTGAACATCCATATTTTCTTCTGGAGGGAAGAATAAACTCAGGGATGTTTGTAAAGCCTGAAGGTATCGCCAGACTCAGAGAACATTTGACCGAAGGGAGAAATTTCTAGAGGCTTCTTAAGCATTGGTTAACATTAAGTAATTTTGAAGGGTTTCCATCGAGACCAAATGTGACACTGGCAACAAACAGAGCCTCTCTCAGACCTCTCTGCCTCTAACCCCAAAACCCAGTGATTTTATGAGCCTCACTAGAGCATTTGCTGACAACACCAGCACTGGGATACTTGCCCCATGCCAGCTTTTCCGCAACACTGAGCACCTCCAGATTTCCCCTCTCTCCTATCTTGCTTCTTTTCACATCACACTTAAGCTTTCCTGGGACTCTTTCTCCACTGTAACACAGACAGGAGGAATGTGGCACACCAGGTTTGTTTGGATAACGTGAGAAGAGGGGGGGATTAGGGTCAGCTTTCTAATGGAAAACTGGCACCACCATTAGCTCTTAGATTGGCACGAGGTTCTGTAAATAAAACTGTACAAAAGAGAGGGAAACCTTGAATTCCCCAGACAGAGTGAATTACCCATACTCTACAAGTCATTAGGCAGGGTGCCAAGCTATAGCTAACGTCTCCCAGAAATAACTAAGTCAAAAGTCCACAAACACCAGGAATTTCTAGCACAGAAACTTGTGTTCTCCAACAGCCAGGAAGGAGCAAGCCCAGCAGTGCCCAAGGTGACAGTGGGACTCATGCCACCAAGCTGGTGACGTGGTCCCAAGGAGCTGTTTGCATAGCATTTGTCAGACCTGAAGCAAGCCACCTTCTGCCCAGTGCCCTCTTGCATTGAGTCTTTGCTTTTCACCAGCAGCAATGTTCTGCGCCATAGGGAAGGGCTGAAAAGAGCTATGGGTGGAGTGCTGCTTAATCCTACGAGCCAGAACTTCAGTGCCAAAGGGAAACCAGCTGGGGATGGTTGAGCCTACCATAGAGGCATGCCATGCTAGCAACTGGTCTTGCTGCATTGGAAATACTATCTGCCTCTGCCATCCCACATCTGGCGCTGCACTGGAGAGAATCCTAAATAATTCAACCCTACTGTCATACAGTCAGCCTCAGCTTGCACAGGCAGCTCCATACAAGATGTGCGGCATGCTGAATTTGAAACACTGCGTTTGAAAGGCGCACATTTGTCTCTCACCAAGCCTCTGGCATTGCATGGCTGAGATGAAATTTGGGATGTTAAGTGGCTCGGGGCTGTTGCTTGGAGATGTAGGCTTGCTGATGTAGAAGCATTCACTAGGCTGAGTGCTTTCCCCTAAACAATCTCAGGAGGAGAAGCTAGTGATCACAGTGATGGGTTAGCACAACTCCCATACAAGTTCCATCCCTCCAGCAGTACTGTTCTATTTTCCAAAGTGATAAACTAAAACCTTGCTTGCTGGACTCTGTTGATAATGCAGAATACATCCTATATGACTGGCAAATAGAGGCAGGGCTTCAGAGCGCAAGCCTGCATTCTCTTCAAAGCACAGGTAGCATTTTCGCAGCTCTCTGTGTCAACAAGACATAAGTATGGGCCGTGTGTCCTCTGCAACTGGTTTGGTGTAATCCTCTTCTTTCTTTGCCTTCCTGTGTTGCAGCTTTTAAACTAGAGTGGCATGAGCAAGTTGTAAGATCCTCAAGCTATTGTTGCATACGGCAGCACCTCCAGAAGACTGGTGATGTCAGGGCTCATGGCAAGGATGTGAAGAAGGCAGCCTTGATGAGCTTCCATCACCAGCAAAAATGTAGAGTGACAGTGGAAAGAACCAACACAAAGCAGGGAGAAATAAGGCTGCAGAGCCAGCTGGCACAAAGAAGCACTCTTCTGCTGATGGATCCAGCCTGCCCAGGTCAAAAGGGCCTTGTAAAGATGAAGCCATTGCTGCTGTTTAAGCAGGGAAAGGTCACAAAGCAGCTGTTCCTTTCTCCCCCTGCCCTCCTCCAGCAGCACGTGTATCTGAAAGCACACAGGCTAAGCTTCCGTACCGCACCCCTGCTCTGCATGCCTGCATCCTCCAAGCACTGCATATCGGAGTGTGAATTACAGCCAGCAATAATAATGAACTCACAAGATAATACCACTGGGGAGAGAACAAGGAAATTCAGGGCCAGAATACAGAAGCTCTCATCGGGCAGATGGAAGGATCTCTAACGAAGGATTTTGCAGCACGGATCAGCTGAGATTCAAGCAGAGCAATGCAGTGCATCGAGCCCCTTACGTCTCTTGTTGCACACAATTCTTGCCAGAATTTTTCAAACTCCAGTTGGCAAAGTGTTTAATCACTTCATGGGGCTGCCTCCAAGGGAAAGGATTCAGAGAAGTGATAGCAAGTGGTAATTTTGGCCACTTAATTTAGATTGATTCATTTTAATAGGCTGCTCAACAATAGATACCACGTGGCCACGACCAAAGAACTTTCGTGGTCTTTACTGAGATTTCAAGTAGGTGTGAAATACTCTAAAAATGCATCATTACTCCATGAGTGATAAAAGCTTAGTTACCCAAATGAATACAAGAATTGGCTCAAGCTCCAGAACAATTATTGCTGCTTTTCTCTTTAAGGTCATTCAGTGTTGCAGAATTGCTGAATTCATGTTACGAAGTTGGAGAAGAGAACAACATGCATCCCAGAGCTCCATCTCCTTGAGTCAAAGTGACCACAAGTATCAAATACATTTCCTTCTGGTGGGATGGAAACACCCTGCAGGGTTTGTTACCAAAAAAAATATGTGGGAAATGGTGAAGGAAGAGAGCGTTCCTTGAGGTGACCCTATATGTATACATACTGAGTGGTCAAATGGCTCAGAGCCTCAGCTACATAGCAGGCAATCAAAATCATTTGACTGGTGTTGCTGTGAGATTTCGCTTTGCAGAATCCTGGCCGCAAGCTGCATTTGGGGGAGTGAGTTTCTTTAAAGGACATTTTAAGGCTGTGCCTATCAACGTCTACGAACGTCCACATGGCCAAAACGAAGACCTGCAAAATCACGTGCTAAGGAGATATGAAATATTTCACCTGTCTCTTCCTCCAGTTTGGGAGCGTGACCCCTGTTCAAGGTTTATCTAAGGAATCACCGGTGAGACACTCCATCCATCCAATCCAAAGCACGTCCTTCTTCCAACCCATTGCTCAGACAGGCAAAACGTGATGCACCTGATTTGAGGTTTGACACTGCATATATTATTCTTGCTTTACTCTGGAGCAGGGGGAAAGGGAGAGAGAACGAGCAAGCACGCAACCACAGCATGTCTTATCTCACATTATAAAGTATGACAGATGTGGTTCTGTAATACATTTTGCAATTCAGAATAACAGACGGTCAAGGGAAAGGTTTTGAGATGAGATAGTAATAAAATCATTTTGCATTCCTAAATCGATGCGTGTACTGGTTCTAAATAACATTTTTTAAGAGTGATCTTCACTCCAACAGCACAGTGTGCCATTACTTGAGTAACTCAACACGCGAGATCAGACTTGGGTCAGGCACTGAGCCCTAAGCCACAGTGATGCCAACATCTCTGGAAAACAACATCATCTTTAGTCCAGCTAAAACAGAGAGCTCGGATACTTCTAGAACTGAAATCTCACTGTTGGCCAGCAAGACACAAAAATCCTTTTCCAACACTGTTGGCCACTGCTGACCTATAGCAGCCTGGAGACACCTACAGAACTGCTGACTTATGCTCCTGTGGACAATCACTGCAGATTTTGACTTGTTTGTGAGTTCAGGGTGAGTGCTATGTAATGAAGATCTTGTTTGCAGTGAAATACCTACGTGGCAGAGACGCATAGAGGTGCATACAAAATCTTGCCCAACTGCTGCCAGTCCGTGCACTGCACTTTGGGAATTACGGTTTCAGGCCCCAAATAACAAGGCAGCCCTACCTTACAGCCTGTCCTACTGCAAGGATACAAAGCTTTCAGGGGCTGACTCACCCAAATGGCAGCTGTTCCTCCACATCCTAGGGCATCAGCACGGAAGTTCAGAAGTGGAACACCCAGCCACGCTCAGTCTCAGGGCAGCAGGAGACACAGCTGTGCAAGAGATGAGGACCCAGCAGTTAGGCAGAAATTCATTTCCCATTCACAAGAAGTTGCAGCTTTGATCACCACCACCGTGACACTTATGAGGATGAAGCCTGGAGCATTTGCTGGAGCATTACCAGCTGCTGATGACAGCATCGTTTCAGTTTAGATTTACCCAGCCCACATTCAGTAACAAAGCCCAAGCCCTAACGACAACATTGAGTTTGAAGTCCCCAGTGCACATCCACCTACAGGCATTCAAGTGAAGCATAAAATCAGCATAAAAAGGCATAAATTGGAAACAGGTCGCTCTTCATCCACAGTGGGGTTTTGTTCTAGCACAGCCTTGCTATATTTTCCATCAATTCCCAGAAAACACGGGCAGAGTGCACACAGGCGTGTCAAGAAAAGGAAAAATGACAAAAGAAAGGAAGAAGTCCATCTCTGAGAAATCACTGATTAAAATTGCTCCCAAGTTCCCATTCCCTCCACAGCTTGCAAAAGTCCAAGTTGGGTGGATAAAGTATCAGCCACGTGCCTGACTTACAGCACTGGGACTGAGGTTTGGGCAGCACTTCAAGACTTTCCCCTAGGAGCCTATCCAAACCCTCTTTGCTTCTGATGTGGAATAATTTGGAAGTGTTTTTAGGCTGCTGTCTGGGATAACACAAGGGCTATTGTAAACACACATGCAGCCAGTCAGCGTCAAGCCCACACAAATCTGGTACACACATAAATAACCAGTGAGCATTGTAAATAATTAATTGCATTTAAAGAGAAGAAGCGACCAATTTGCTGAGTAGGTCTTAAGAAGGGCAGAGTTTGTTACTTTTTTTTTTTTTTTTTAATGGCAAGGGTTATGTATCACCTGATTTTAGTAAGTGGAAGGTACTTAAATGCAGGGCACTGCTTTCGTAGGTGGCCACAAGGGAAGCTATAGCCAGACCTTTTCACCATTCAGGCACAGCCACGCTAGGAGATAGAGAGGCCCTTCCTAGGATTCCCAAGTAGAACTTCTGTCTCTGGTATGTCTCATTGCATTCCTTCCATACCCTTCATTATTTCTTCAGAATTCCTCAGTAAATTCTGGTATTGACCTCAGGTGAATTGGACTGGGAGTTAAAGCAAACAGCAGCCAACCAGTCTGCCACATTCATAGATGCTGAGGTTTTACATCTTGTCCCCCAATGGATTTTGAGCAGAAACCCATTGTATGTTGGCAGGGAGAGTGAGCCTCGGTAGGAAGAAGATGGGAAACGATACAGGAGAAAGATTGCTCTGCAGTAATAAATGCAACTTGATAATTTAATGGAGCTGCACACAGCCACACTGTGACTGCCCAAAAAAAAAAAAGCCAAAGATCAACCAGAAACACACAGGTGGACTTGTGGAGAAACAAGGGAAAAGCACATAGAAAAAGCACCATTAAGGCAATGATCTCCTCAAGATCATTGTTCACTTTGAGCTTCTAACCAGAACCATTACGGAGACCGTTTCCAGACTTCAGTGACTCATTTTCACGTGAGAAACTTTAGAACCACAAGGCCTGCAAAGTCATCATTATCACTACCTGCAGCAAGATAAGGAATACTCGGACTCAAGGTTTGACACGGCTGAGTATTGTACAAGCATCCTTCGTCAAGCCAAGGTATAGAACTGGTGGGGAGCGCCCAGGATTCATGTCCATTGAAGGGCCGATTATCAAAATAGTGTAAGAATATTCTCAAGGCTGGAATAAACTAAGATATGCACTTTTCAGAGATGCCTGCGATGCTCTGTAATTTTACAGCCTCCAAAAGCTAAGAAAAGCAAGGAGCTGCCAAGATTTCATCACTATTCACGTGTCAAGGCCAAAGAACTGCAAAAAGGTCAGTCTCACAGGTTATGAATATCAGAAAACTACAGCAACACAGTTATAACCAAAATACATGCAATTCCTAAAGCTCTTCTTACGGGTAAGCAGCAGGCAAGAGCTAGAGTGATCATGTAATACACAATTTACAGCACCTACCGGTACCAACGTGATACCATGTTAGCAAATGAACATGCCTGGTGCTGCAGAGGTGTTGCAGCATACAAATAAGACCTTGTTGCTCACACAGGTCATTTAACATCCATGTCTAACTTCTGTCACCTAGAAAACACCTAGAGATGCCTGTCATTCCCAGCAGCCATCCAGCTACTCACAGACAGCTGAGAAGTCACAGACAGCAGACAGAAATGGATGCGGTTTCAGTCCATTTTCTTGTAATGACCTTGCTATTTGATTTCAGCTCCATCCTCCTCTACTTCCATGTTTCTGATGGCGGGTGCACTGATGTGACCTCAGGCACATTGCTTAGCAGAGTATTAACCCGCTTTGCTCCAACCATAAGTTAAAGCCAGGTGCCCACAGACAGCAGTCAGCTCTAGTTGTCACCCACCAGCAGCCCTCTTTTCTCACCTTGCAGTAAGGGAGCCTTGGGTGTCCCCATAAGAAGAGATGCCAAGTTTCCACGTGGCCAAAGAAGGTTAGACTTGTAGTTCTGTATTTTATTTTTTTCTGATGTGATTTTGCAACAGTCCTCCAGTATTACAGCATATTTTCAGCAGGAAATTTCAGCCTGTATCAATCACTGCATATCCAAGTTGGGAAATTCCCTGTCAGCTCCAATTAATATCATGATTCCATTAGGAAGGGGTGTGGTGAACAGACTTCAGTTTAGACAAAAGCAGATGTGCCTTAACAACATACACTGCTAGGGCAGATCCTATTCTCTGAAATACACAGAAATTTCCCCTGTGCAATTCCAGCTTAACTCACACTCTGGATGCCAGGACACCAGGCCATCTGTGGATTGCAAGTCCTCACCCCATGGCCAGTTCTTTACGCAGCACAAAATGGAAGAAATTCTACAAGGAGGAATTCATTTAAAAGTCTGAGCTTGAAGAGTTTGGGGAAAAAAAAAGTCTGCCCAGGGGAAAAGCATCTGGCTTGTTAGCAGGACGGAAAGCACGGTACAAATTCTTCCAACTGCCATCACATATTTTTCAGTGCAAGTCAGTGCAAAGTGAAGTAAGTTTCCCAGGAAGCAAGAGGCCAGAGCTCCAGTCAAAAGCATTTTAGCAAGGTATCATCAGAAATCCATGTTCTCAACACACCAGAGGCGCATTCCTTCTCCCTGGCACACAGAAAAGAGTAAATTGGATAAAGCCAGCTTGACTTGTATATGGGCCAGGATTTCAAGTGCTGGATCAACAATAATTAAGAGCTACATGATAAACATCACCATTTTGAGCAGGCCAGAACAGAGTATTCAGCAACATCTACGTGAAGGCACTTGACTGTTCAGCCAGCCATTTTTCCCCATGTTGTGCTGGCGGTGCAGGCTGTTCCCAAAGCTGGCATATCTCCATGATCATCAGCAGCTAAAAATCCAAGCATTTCTGGGCTCGTCATCAGAATATCTGAGAGTTTTCAAAACAGCCAAAAAATTTCAGAAGTATTTAATAGTTTGGTTTGCTTTGGTTGTTGAGAGCCCAAGCTGGAAATCTGTGCCTTGAACCTGGACAGTCCTTGTAGGGAGAATAGGATGGGTTAGACTCTCCCAAGGGAATGCCCAAGCCAAGAAAGCACCTTTCTAAAGCCCAGGGAGAGGGAAGATCCCCAGGATGATGAGCAGGGAGTACTGCAAGCAACAGTCATACCAGGGGCTTCAACACAAGATCTTACAGGGGGAAAGTAAAGGTATCCTGCAGCTCCATGGCCAAAGGATAGAACCACAGCTGGCCTTTACAAAAAGGTCTCAATCCATGAGTTTATACAGGGAAAGCTGACGAGTTGAACAGACACATGAACACGCTTGGTTTCTCCATCCTGATCAACCTCAGTCTTTAAACAAACTCCAGAGACAGAACTGTAAGCTACCCTAAAGACTCCGGGATCAAGCAGGTTGAAAAGAGGTACTCACAGCATCAGGAGGGAGTTGAGCAAGGAGGCCTGGGTGGTTTCCAGTTTGGGACTTTAGACCTTCATTTCCATCTCAGCCACATCTCCAACACTCAGCCCCTTTGATGCAGCACTTTTCAGCCTCTGACCTGCAGACCCTGGTGAGCTACGAATTACAGACAGGTCTCTGAAATGTGGGAAAAAAAAAAAAGAAGAAACAAAACACTCTTTTCAGAGGGTTTAAATTCACTGTATGGGAGTCAGCAAGAAAATGCCTACTGCTACAAGTAATAAAGCCACACGTAACACTTGCCTCCATTCCTGTTTTCCTCCTTAGAGCTCGCACACATCTGGCAGAAGCAAAAAGCAAGGAACATACTGCACTAAATAAGATGCCTTTGACCTGAGTCACCGAGTGGGACGCAGAGGAAAAACATTCGTTTGGAGACAAGGTGAAAGGCGTTACGCCAAAGAATTTGCAACGGACAAAACAAGGCAAATACAAAACTCACGCCCATCGTGAAGCTGCCTGCCTCAAAGCAACCCCACAAATCACAACTGCACATGACAGCTCTGTTATCTCTCAGCATCCCTATAACCTACACAGCCGAGACACACAAGCACACTGGGATCCCCTGGAAGAAAATTCAGGGCTCAGCGGTGAGAATAAATCATGACTTAATGCAGTTATACTTAAACATCTCCAGCAAAGTGGTTGATGGCATTACAACACATCTCACACCCATTAACTGTGGGATATGCAAGTATCAGAGGCTTGGAAACGCAATCAGGGTGCATCCCTAATTGCTGCAACCAGATTCAACAATCAGCCCAGACTGGAAGGTTGAGAATTAGACTTGTGTTCATTGCAGAATGGCATTTCTACCTACGGCTTTCGAGGCTGTCACTCCACACTGAGCTCAGTGATAGATTACAGTCACAACTAAGCACTACAGGCTACTTTCTGAGGACAAAATCTGAGAGAGAGGAAAAATACAGCCACTGCACCTCAATCACAGCGCACAGACACTACACAAAGAGGAGAGTTCATCAAGCCAAAACAGCAAAAAAGCAAAGATTGTACAAGGGGTGAAGTGGAGCACGTTAGCAACTGAGTGCAAGCAACGGGCATCGCCTTTTTCCTTTCATAAGCACGATGCTTGCTCAGAGGCAAGCAGAAGGAAGACAAAGGGAATAAAGGAAAGTTCTGATAAAGGTAAACTTATTCCAACGTTTTGAAAGGTATTTTTATTTCAGATTGAAGCAGCTTCTGAGTTTGCTTCAGTTTTTATCGGGGAAAAAAAGATAATAAAGTGGGATAGTGTCAAAAAAAGTTCAGGGCAAATGAAAGTTAAGGGATCAAAAGCATTTTCATCTTTCCTCCCAAGAGTTCCCCAAAAGCCTTCAGTAGGGTCAGCTGAAATTGCTTTTTGATTATTTTTTTTAGTGAGTCCAGACCAATCAACAAATGCTTCAACCATCTTTAACTTTTCTTTAACCCACGTTTCTCCCCTTGCAAAGCCATCTTCAGGCAGCTATCTTTACTAACTGCTGTATTACCGCGTGCAGCAGCTCAGCAGACTTTAAATCTTCAGTATTAAGGTTTGTCAGACGTTAATCTCATCCCTTTGAATCTGGCAGAACAAGCCCTGCTGCCCACAGGTTTACACAGGGATGCATCACGTTGTCCTTCAGCAGGGAACTCCAGCTCACCGGAGTGCATAATCAATGCCATGTGAAGGTCTGTTCTTTGACAGAGCCCTCCATTGCAGGAGTTTTGCTTTTAATTCATGCAAACAACGAAGTCCTAACTGTTCTTGTGATATTTGGTGCTTTTTCCAAAGCTGCAGCTCAGAGAGGCTAACATGAGCATCCAAGCAGTCGCCCGTGCTTCTGAGCCTCGTGTTTGGGAAAGGACATCTCAACGACCCCCAAAGCACAAACGGGTTAAACAGACTTCTATGAAGAATCACACAGGTATCTCTGAGCTTATGTTGGAATGAGAGGAATCTGCTGGGTGGGGGCTGTGGTGCCTGTCCCAGGGCTATTTACTCCAATTCTTTTAAAGGCTAAAACCACGCTGCTTTCAGCCAAAGTTTTGTTTCATGTGGCTTTTCACCACCCCAGAGACATGAAGCGAACAACATCTATCATTCACATAAAGGAGTTAATTGCCTTTCTTCCCCGCTCATTTTTGTCTTCTGCCTCTAGACAAGGGTATTCTTCCCCCATGCTAATTATTAATAGATGGAGGAAAGTTCACCTTGAGGTTGAGAGTTTTATAGAAAAATTAATTACAGAGCCCAACTTTACAATCACCGGTTAAGACACACATTATCAGCCACAAGACCCTCAGGCTTTACCTGGCCTGAAAAAAAGTTTGCAACATGATGTGAGATTACTTCGAAGCTGAACTCCAGAGGAAGCACCAGAGCACAGGCAGGGCCACCAACAGCCTCCATAATGATGAACCATGGCTGGGAGGCATCAAGAGGTCAGAAGAAGAAAGGAATAATAGGTCAGATACACCATCCTGTACTTGCCAAAATTTAGAGAATGGAAGCTTAAGATCTTAAGAAAGTAATGAGGCCACTGCACCAACAGTGTGACATTCAGCATCTGCTGAGGGTGCTCAGTAGCAGTAAATCTATTGAACAGGCTGAGAAGTAGTGAGTGGAAGATGATGCTCAATCAACACAGTGAGGAAGCTCTCATTACACAAAACTTATAAAAATCTTGATGTGCAAACTGTGTGCAGGTTCTCACATCAGCCTTTGGAGTCAGCAGTATGGAGCAGCTTAAGAAGATCAAGACCACTTGCATATTTAGACCTGCAAACACTTACATACACACTCTGGTATTTGCTGAATTGGTGCCTCATGCTCTCCATTCCATAAATCCTCTTCCATTTCAGGCTCATGTGATGGAAAATGCTCTGTGAGCAACACAAATTACTGGCTGAAGTCAGAGGGAAAAGTATGACAGAAAGTCACAGTCTGGAGAACACGAAAGACTCCTCGTTTATAAAACAAAACGTTTAACAACCAGCAGAAGTCACGTTGGCATTACACAGCCAGGACTGCATACACTGCTGCGTGTGGACTTCATCCCTACTCTGGGAGCTCCACTGAGACAACTTCAAGAGTGGTACACTCCAATAATGAATTGGATTCCTCTGAAGGAGGTGATGTTCAGACACCCCTTACCTGTGCACATGCATTTGTGGCTGTGCTTCCACTCCCAGCTTGGCTTTCTGTACATCCTTCAGTCACCACGCTCTCAATACACCTGAAACAGAGGGACATAGCTGTTCTGTAAGTTCACACAGCACATGACACAGCTGGAGTCTGCTCCTTATAGGCAATCTCGAGGAGATTGCACAACTGCACAACTCAGAAAGCAATTTAAAGCCAACATCTTGCCTAAAAGGCTGATACAGAAGGACACACAGCACGGCTCATAACCTGGTAATAATTCTACCACACGTCCGAGGTGCTCAGAGCACTTAGGAACACACCTCTCGGTTTCAAGAGGAGCCATGCATTGAGCACAAGCCAAACCAAAGTATTTCTCAACACATCCAGGGCTTTGCTAGCTAGTGTGCTAATCAAAAATTACCAGAAAATAATCAAGTGTCATATCAGCAACCTATGGAAATGGCAATTCCCCATCACATCTAGTCCTGAGCCATTTTTACAGTTCTTATCAAGAGCACTTTTTTGCTGCGAATATATCCTTTAAAACTATCTTTAAAGCAAACCTATGAGATATGTGAGGAGAAGGGGAAGAAAAAAAAAAGTGACTGTCACAGGGAAACAAAGCAAGAAAAGAAGAGGAAGCAGGGAGTTGTGCATCACCATTGGTGGGCACTTGAATAGGAGCCCTGTGCTTGACACCGCTGACTTGGAACAAAACTGAAGTCAAACAGCTATTTGTCAAGGGATACAAATGCACACAAGTGGTGAGAACCTGGCCCTTCTGTAAAAATGTGTCAGGGACTTTTCTGTAGGGCTGCACCGAGCTCCGTGATGGATTGTTGTACTCTGAGGACAGCATTGTGAGCAGCAATAATAAGGCATCTGGTCAATGCTCTTTCTGAAAGAATATTTTGGCTCGACAGGAATCACGTGAGTGGTTCCATGTACAATGCACAGCCTCAATGCCACGGATCAGAGGGCTGGGTCCATCCATCCATCCGCTTTCAGCTCCACCAGGCCAGCTCCAGGACGTGCAGCATCACTTTCATATCTTCTGGACACCTAATGAAAGCAATAATACCACATCAGCCCCTGCAGCCTCGATACCCCACTGAAAGCCCCCTTGTTGGTCTTAACCATTCTTCTTGCACTGCCACACAACTGTGAGCAGGAAGAGGAGGCAGGCACCATTGCTACTCAGAGGCCATAACAACCCCTTTGGTTAACTCAGAACTGCTTTGCTAGGCAAGGCAAGGAGCTGCTTTAACGTGGGACCATAGTGCACAACATCTCCTCAACCAAAGTGTCATTCAGGCGGGGAGGAGGGAAGGATGACCTTCATGAAGATTTCAGCAAGCTGCCAGGGGAAATCTGCCCCTTGGCTGCAGGTAAACTACCAATAGCTCCTTGGAAGACATCCCACACCTACACATTGACAGTGAGAACAGAAACAAAGAGAGGAAGACATGGGACAAGCACACAGTGCTGGGTTGAGCAACATAAGATCTCCTTAACTCGTGCCCCTGAAACCAGATGGCAAGCCAAAGTTTTCTCTGACAAGCAATAGAATCAGAACTGACACAACTGGAAAAAACAAGCTCAATTCCTGTTGGCAGGATATTAATTTAGAAATCTCTGGTGTCACTGCCCTGATTCACAATGAATTTGAAACCAAACTTTCCTAGTGCCAGATGACACAGAGATTTGACAGAGAAGGTAATTGGAGGAAATGGCTGTGTAATCTAGCTATTGTGCTGGCGAAATCCAGCTCTCCTAAAGAACAAGGTTCACTTTGTGGCATGGCTGATTCGTGGTCCTTTATTTGTCCCCAGTGCCTCTTGACTTCCCTCTGCTTGGCAGGGACGGTGGCACAGTTCCTTCTAAACAGTGTCAAAGGGTGGGCAAACCTGACCTTGAGCAGAGTTCTGGCCAAAGCTACCAGCCCTTGTAATCACATCCTGAGTGACATACTGCACACACCCCTGAAAGAGGAGAGCTCCTACCAAGGGAACTCCTCACCAGCCAGATGCCCTAGATCCTAATCATTGGGTCATCCATCAGGTCCTAACTGTTGGGCTATCCATGAGGTCCTAATTGTTGGGTCACCCATTCTTCTTCTTCTGGAAAAGAGAATAAAGACACAGGCTGCACTCTGGGAAAAAGAAACAAAAATCACCTTGCACTGAGAGACAAAAGAGATTGCTGTGGCTCTGCAAGGACAGAGAAAAAAGGAAAAGGAGGGGGATCAGAGTGAAGAAATTCCAAAATGCATCCTGTGCAAAACTCAACAGCATTTGCCTACAAATGTCCACAAACACATGTACTGAACCACGAGACTCAGCATTTTTCCACTGTTCTAATAATAACCATTTTATTGACCTGTGTGTCCATGGTACTCCACTAATCGCTTTGTTTTTCTAACTGTCACTATCTAGACTGGACGGTGAGCTGCTCTGGGTGAATGTCAAATCTACTCTGTACCTTTGAGATCTGATAACTCAGCTGTTGGAGCACCATGAAACTCTATACCTGTTAGCTGTGCATATCGAATCGATGGCAAGTCCCCTTTGGGAGCCCTGCTAAAATGTGCTCTTGCCCTTCAGAAGGCTCCTCTCTATTTCAATAAACAATCTGGAGAATGGAGTGTAACAGCAGTCTAACCTACCCTCATACCTGAACGCATCTTTTTTTTGCTCCATTCACCAATTACACAAGCACCATATGGATATAAAGCATATGAATGCCAGTGAATGCATATGAAGCCAGTGATTTCGTGGAGGAGGAGTGAAGGAGCTCAATTATTTTTTCCTCATCTGCTAGCAAAAAAATATTAGGATAGTAAACAGAGCTAGCAATCACATAGGAATGCCCGGGAGAGCCCTTGCCTGCTGGTATGCAGATCTCTCATCTGGAATTCATTTATTCCTGTTCTCTATTCATACTATTAAGCTACAGCAGTGAACGGGCAAGAACATATTCAAAAGAGACCTGAAGTTATTGAGGAGACTGCCGATTCCAGTGTCACCTCTGAAAATAAAGAACCTGAAGCAGCAGACTGGTATTTCACCATTTTCAACAGCATCACCTGACAATTCAGCATTACCTCACAGAGATGGCTCCCATCATTCCTGAAGGGCAGGATACTTCCACCTCCTTTCCACAAATTCTGTTAGCAAAAATAGAAAGCATCTCTGTTAGACCGCAAGTTAAAAAGGCCCAAATTTATCCTTAGGTTAAACCAAGATGAGCTAGCAACATGCTGTCTGGTTGTGCAGGTCCCAGTGGAGGCACGAGTTGGATTCAATGGGTCCTTTCCAACTTGGGGCAATCTGTGATCCTACTGATCTGTCAGACCTCGCAGCTTCAATTGTGGTGCATCCTGGGTGCCCTTAAATTGGATGAAAGAATGCACAGGAAAATGGTGTATTTGCCTGCTGGGTCTTACTCTGCATCCCATTTCACTTCTAATTCCCCAGAAAGCAGAGGATCATCCGCATCTTGTTTAATTACATTCAGTAATTTAAACTGCCACAGAAAACCCGCTTTGCCTATAATCATTTAGAGGTCTATAGAAATCCCTTAGCCTGGTGGAAAATGTAGATGTGTAATTAGTATATTCCCCTTAACTGCAGCCTCATTTCTCTGTGCAACGACTTGTGTGCAGGTATGCGCAGCAGTCCACTTGGCTTACCCTGCATGTGGTTCCTGGGGGGTCTGAAAGGCAGAAGTTCTTGGGGGTGTGAGCAGAAGGTGCAGCAGGAAATCAGATGCCCCTGGGATCCCTGCACCTCTCTCCACCACAGCCTCCTACAGACAGCTCCAGGGCTCAGCTTACACCCAGCAGTGCTCCAGGAGGGGACCACACGTACTAGGGATGGAGAAAAAAAAGCACACGTAAAGATCCTGGAAGTCTCAGGGCAAGTAAATTACTGTTAATTGTGAGATATTTGATTGCAAGAAGCACCAGATGGCCAGCCATATGTTTTTGATTGTAAAATTAAACAAGATTAACCCAAACAGGATTTCCTCAGCATTCTTCTCTGACTGGCTCACAAATACATCTTTAACACCTATGCTACAGATATGGCACAGTCAGAAGCTCTTCCTGCCTCTCCCTAATCTGCCTGGGCTAAATACTCAGCCAAGCAATACCCTGCACTTAAAGATTTCCAAGAAGCAAGATAGGCTTTTTGCAGGCATGGCCAAACCACTCTCTACTCCAAGATAGAAGAATTCTGAGGCAAAACCCTGCAGATACCACAGCTCAGTGAGTTGCAGGTCCAGCAAGTTTTTATGTCTTAGCTACCAAACCCGTAGAGTCAGCTGCCTCTCATGCTCTCCCTGGAAGATGGACTTTAGCCAGAAAGGCCTTTCCAAGCCCACCCAGCTACCATACGCACACACGCGTTATCGTATGGGATCTCACAGCTGAGCCCCTGCCTCTTTGCAAGCTTTTCTCATGCAGATTATGCACTTCGTCGTTTGTTTGGAGCAAATCAGTTGTGAACTGAACATAAAGGGTGTTCCAGGGGAGATCTCCCGTTGCGCCATTCCCCAGCACAAATCCCCAGGACACCGCGCGTCCAGAAGCTATCAATAACACTCTGCTCACACCCTCCTATCTTATCATACGCAGGCAGACAACGTGTTTGGAGAGTTTAATTGCCCATCAGCCAACAGACAACGGGCCAGGGCTCTAGATCATGTAAACATGATTTTTTTTTTTCTTTTAACTTTGACTATCTCCACTTTCAGGGTTTCTCTGGAGGGCAAAATGCCTTTCTTTGTCTTTCTTTTGGCAGAAGAGCCAGCCCATTGCACGCCAGGCAGTCTTTCTCCCTTACTGCTGCTGCCACTAAAGATGGAAGAGCTGGGGCAACACTGGAGAGGAGGACAGCAGTTCCGTAGGAAACAAGAACAGAGCCATGGAGAATGGAGATTTGGCCCATTTAAGCAAGCACCCAGCTGTGAAATGCGGTGGGCAATTCCAGCTTTCCACTTGCAAGGTGGTGTGGCTGAGTCCTGAGAGGATCTGGAGGACACATCCCGTGGCTGTTGCTCCCTCAGCATCCCCTCTGGACACAGAAGGGAGTGCAGCTGGGTTGTGCCTGGCCAC